AAAACAAACGGTAACTTTCTCTAATTGAATGAAGCACGAGGCGGCTTTGGGAACGATATTAACGCCATCTATCATACAAAACAAACATTATGAGGAGACTTTGAGAACGATATTAACGCCATCTATCATAAAAAATAAACATCACAAACTAATAAAAATGTTTCGTATGGTTTTTTATTTTATTTTATTGCATTGATGGGTAGACGAGCTCACGGCCCACCTGATGTTAAGTGGTTACCGGAGCCCATAAACATGTACAACGCAAATGCCGCCACCCACCTTGAGATAGGAGTTATAAGGTCTCAGTATAGCTACAATGGCTGCCCCACCCTTCAAACCGAAACGCATGACAGAAATACGCAGGATGGTGGTACCTACCCGTGCGGACTCACAAGAGGTCCTACCACCAGTAAAAAAATAGCGTTGACAGTAAAATAGGGGAATATAAATTTGCTCATCTTAATTTTTTTGGTATTAAAGGAATTTATGAGGCTTGGGGAGAGTACTCAGTGGTAAGCAACGGTTTGGCTTTGCCGCTAACATTGCTGATGTCCCTGAGCGACGGTAAGAATTCACCATCAAGGGCCAAACGATCGCCTGCCCGCATACTTCAAAAATTAAAGTCAGTTTTTGCGTCCGCTTAAACTAGGTACCAAAAAGTTTTGAAGTTTAACAAAAACAAAAAAAAAACAAAGATTTTTGCAAAACAAGTACTACGACAAGACAAATTAGAATATAACTTCAATCTTATCCACATTTTAGTTAGCGACAAAGTTCCAGGCCCCAGGCGACCGTTTGAAAAATGATTTGACGTAATACAAATCCCGTTAAGTCTTATGGATTCGAGGCTTTGCTACGTACTTGGGAATCTATCTTTATTTAACGCAAACCACGATCGTTTTAACACGCTCTCAACTTTTCTTCTTTTGTTGGACAGGCAAGTATCATCTGGTCGTGGGAGTCGGTAGAATAATTGTTATATAAATGTCACGATTCATCATAAGACTTCGAACTCAACTCTGTGTGGGCCGTAAAATAACTGCTTCATGACAGAAAAGGATGGATGTATCTTTGTATTTGTGGACGCGTGGGAGGAACCCCAGGAGAGAAGTATGAAGATTGGTTTACTTTGTTTATCTATTGCTTTCTCTTGTTCAAATGTGTATTAATGACGCGTTTAGCATCTGTGAAATCGCACTCGTTTGGGAAAGCTCGGGTTCTTTAAAGTTGTATATTAAGATCTCCGTGAATCTCAGAGAATCAGTGAATATTACTAGTGGTAGGACCTCTTGTGAGGCCGCGCGGGTGGATACCACCACCCTGCCTATTTCTGCCGTGAACCAGTAATGCGTTTCGGTTTGAAGGGTGGGACAGCCGTTGTAACTAAACTTGAGACCTTAGAACATATATCTCAAGGTGGGTAGCGCATTTACGTTGTGGATGTCTATGGGCTCCAGTAACCATTTAACACCAGGTGTGCTGCGAGCTCGTCCATCCACCTAAGCAATAAATAAATAAAAAGAATCTTCACCATTTCACTGGGACTAATCTCGTCAGTTTCATTTAATTTTATCCTACAATGAATTTCAGATAAATCAAATTCACTTTATTCTGCTCTAATTCACTTTTCACACAACAAAGTATGTAATAATAAAGCTGAAAGTATCAGGCCATTCGCATTTTTAGGGCTTTTTGGCGGGAACGTCTGTGAAAATGTGTGAATTGTTTTATTTTGTTAATTTAGGTTTTCTGTAGGTTGAAATGTGTAATAACGGTGGGTCATTAATTGTTTAGAATCTGTGAAAGTGCACAAACAGGGGAAAATGACAGAAAGCCGCTAGACGAAGCCACACGGGCTCTTCCAAAAAGTTCCCTGAAAAAGTGTCAGTAAATAATCGCCATCTTACTGAGATTATATTTGATCCCATTTCTTCTCATTTCATATAATTTCATCCCAATTGATAAATTTCTTAAATTAATCAAGTTCATTACATTTCACTCCATAACATTTTTTATAAAACAGAATATACAAAGGATAAGGCTGTATGGTGTGATAGCTTCGCCTTCCCAGTAGGAAAATTGTAACTACTCTAAAAAATTTTCATAAAAAAAACATGAAGTTCTATTTCAAATAACAATAAAAAAAGAAGGCTACACTGATAGGGTCAAATGATGAGGTTGGAAATTATGTGACGGAGCTCTTAGGCTGCTCGGCTCATTAGATTAATCTTAGCAGATAGATAGATACATTCTACTTTTAAAAGGGCACCTATTAATTTTTGGTGTCATTAATTTCGGAGCTGAAACAACGTAGTCTGGTACTATTTTAACAATAGCACACATATATATAATAATATATATATAATGATATCGGGTACTTCAGAATTAATAAGCGATCGAAACTATTATTTAAAATAATAGTCAAAACAACGTCTTAATATTACTAAAAGTCGTTAATCACGACATATAACTAGTCAGGTCATAAGTATTGTCACACAGTAAAAACTTTTCTTTTAGAATGCTGGCCACAAAAAAGTTTATTGAATTCGAATTTCGAATTGTTCATGAAAATAAAAATGTATACTTTTAGAATTTTACTCATTTTTAAATATGGAGTGGACGCTTAAAGAAGACCGTGTTGCAGTTATTGCGTTGCATCGTTGCGGTTACGCGCCAATTCAAATTTTTAACATACTGAAAAATTTGAATATAACCAAAAGATTCGTTTATCGTACCATCAAACGATACAATGAAGACTCTAGTGTAGATGACAGGTCAAGAAGTGGTCGCCCTCGGTCTGTTAGGACTCCAGCAGTGATAAAAGCTGTGAAGGCGCGAATTCAAAGAAATCCCAAACGTAAGCAGAAA